AATTACCGTTGCTTTCCTATCAACTGACACTAGATGCTCAGCGAAAAACAATTCGAGACTATTATTCGGGACGGAAGGAGATCGCGGGCGGAAATAGCCGGAATAGCCGCGCGCGGAATCGTGCACTAATTCGCATTATTCCAAGCACGTGCTTGCCGATCACAAACGCAAACGCAAGCAGCAGCAGCAGTAGCAGCAGCAGCAGCAGCACGGTTCTTGTGCGGATTAAGCGTCGAGCTGTTGTCCCGGTGAAAACCCTTGAGCGCCGCGGTCGACAGATTCTTTTTCAGTTGCTGAGTCTTGATGAAAGAATCGAAGAGAGCGAAGGCAACGTCACGATTGGTCTTGGTCCAAGCGCCGCGCAGATCGTGCACGACCAATCGATGAATCGGCGTGTCGCCACTCACCCCGGCAACCATCGCTTCCCTGCCATAGCTGACGCGCGCCACGCTCAAGCAGTAACACTTCTCGACCGGCTGGCGCAGTGACGCGCTCTCCACTTCGTCTTCCTGCAGGGCGCTTTTCAGCCAGATCTCTGCGTCGCTCAGCTCGCAGTTCATGTACACGATAGACCATTCTGCCCGCGGTCGATGAATCAGCCCGTCGTCAATCGGATGTAACGCGAGATTGTGCTCCGAGCTGCAGGCGACTCGGCCGCCGGTCACTTCGAAGCCTCGTTGCATGGCGAACGACATCCAGTAGTTGACGTGGAAACGATGGAAGGCTAAGGTCAGCCGGACTTTCCTGTAGTGTCTGCTGAGCTGTTTCTTCCTCGGTCGAATGTTCTTGAACAACGGCCCCTTTCGCGTCGGTCTCGTCGCGCCTGATAAAATTAATTTGAGATTCTCGAACCATCTCAACGTGCTGCCGTAGAGCAGTGCCGTTGGCGCACTGGCCAATGTAGGCGAGCCGGTCGGTTTGGTCTCCAATGACAGGCTGACGTTTAGGTTCTGAGAGCGAAACGCCCTGAACGAATCGTGCTCCTGATTGCTAGAGTACTCGGGCAATCGATCCGGGGCGCAGGGTATAGCGGCGTGATGATCACGCGGATCGCCCAGGCATACCCATGCCAGTTTAACGCTCAATCTGACGTTAGGCAAATGTAGTAGTCGGCAATCGTCGTATTTACTGGCCGTACGCACGTACACGTCGAGATCACCCTTAATAATGATCTTTCCTTGCGTCCAGTCGAGCTCCAGTCCGGTCCACGTCAGCTCCATCTCTTCCGTAGTGTTGTATGGATCCAGAGAGCCGTGCAGCAGAACCGTCAGTTGTTTCACGCAGAGCGTCAGTCTACCGTGAAGAGCCAGTCGCATTTTATCCCAGAACGGCAACGGCGGGCTCGGATCCCTCGACGGATGAAGGATCTTCTCGAAGCTGAGATTACACTGCGCTATCACCGGCTCCCAGCATGGACCGAACGCGTACCTGAATGTGTCAATGTCCCAATTGAGATCGTGATAATACTTGAGAGATGTCATTCCTCTCTCCACTACTATATCTTCCCATGGCGCGCCGATTTCAATTCTGACGGTCCTCTTCGCCCTCGGTGGCGCCAAGGCTTCCGCTCCGGCTAATCTGCCCCACACATTCAGATTCTCTACCAAAAGCAGCGGCTGCGGGAAATCGCGAAGTTGCAGCTTCCACTCGGCGCATTTCAAGCTAATACCGCGAACCCACACGGTGTTGAATTCCAGACCATCCTCGGGCCAAGGTGTTTCCGAATCCATCTCTCGGAGTGCTCTCACTGCCTTTTCCGTACCGTTTATCGACGGATCAGCCAGGGCTAATATCTCCAAGTCCAACATGGTCCAGGCGAACAATCGAGTCCTCGCGGGGCCCGCCCGTTGCATCTGCTTCCATCTCTGCACATAGATCTCCGCGTTTTTCTTATTTAAGCTCGCGTATAATTCTTCGACCTTTCCTTGCGGTAGCAATAGATGCGCGCGACAAAGTTCCTGTACTTTGGCATCCAACATCGCCTGACGTTTCAAGCTCTCCTTGTACTCGTCCTCCAACAACTCGTAATTGTCGCGCAGACGTACCT